CGCTCGCGCGCGCGCCGTCCTCCCTCTCGTTCTCTCGCCACCGTCCCTTTCTCTCCCTTCTTTCTTCGCTCCCTCCCTCCCCCTCCCTCTCTCCCGCCATCTCTCTTCCTTTCCCTCGTTCCCTCTCGTTCTTATCAGAGAGCCTCGACAGTACGACCACACTCATACTCTCGTTCTATTGCTCGCTCGGCTGATCTCTCGAGGAGGGCGCGTTAGGGCGCTCGCCAGCCACTCGTGTATCTTCCAATTCGTGCTCTGTTTCGAAATTTCTTCGATACCAAAGGAAATTCGCTGCCCCTTCGGAATTTCTGTGTCATCGCGTTCCCCGATATTACTCGCTCGCACACGTGCTCCCGCAAAGGGAAACAGCGAGGCCAGAGGACTCGGAAGTTACGACATCCGGTACACAATACTACCGTTTCCTGTCTCTCGTGACCCTTGGTCCCACTTGCTCTAGCCCACGTGACCCCGCCGTTTCACTTCGCGCAGTTTCGATTTAACACGCACGCGCGCGCGCGCCTCTAACTGCCGCGGCACCGCGTGCGCACGTAATCTCTAACGAATATCGCCACGATTTTTCAAACACGTTTTCTCGAGTTTCAAACCCTTTCCCAGGTACTTGCTCTTTCGAATCTCACCTAGACACGTTACGCGATGTGTAAAATATGGCGCGACTCCTTTGTACCGATTATAAGGGTTCGATGTAGCCTCGTGAGAATTCTTTGATATCTCCTGTTGCTCTGCGAGCACGCACTTAGCACCGCGTATCGGCACAATACATTCTCCACAATAGGTGGTTGATTCCTTTCTAAATCTCCGCATTTCCTCGCGCGGTTGATGGTTGAAGAACGGATACATTCACCGCCATAGCGTCCAATTGTTCCGCAGGAGCATGCGTGTGGTGCTGTGCGCACTTGGGAAAAGATTCGGATAAAAGAGGCGAAATCACTCTGATTTGGACTTTTTCGTTGTCACAGTCCTACGCCTTGCTTCTCTCCAGCGCAACAGCGAGCTTCCCGTCGTCACGTGCATGCATGCGTGCATGCGTACATCGCGGCATGGCGAGTGCATACATGCCGGGTCGTTGAACGAGCAGGGGGTACCGAGGACAACAGTAACGACTGCACCAACCCACTTGTCTCGACCCTATACAAGTCACGTGCACGTACAGTGCTCGGTAATAATGGTCCCCAGAGGGTGTGACCTATTCTATATGTTGGATTCTCGCGCTCGTGCACGCGCCAGGCCGACTTGCTGGTACCAACATGCTTTGGTACCGCGGCTCCCCATGGAAAACTGCATAAAGGAACGTTTTATCATACAGGCACGTTTTGTCTACCTCCGCTTTATTTTTTGGGACAAGGTATCGGTGTTTAAATAAGATGTTGGAAAATTAATTTGATTAAAATTGATCCTCTCAGTTAATGGATGATATTATTCAGATTATACTTTATTGATCACTTTAATTAATAAGAATATTCATATCTTTATGCATAAATGAAACATCATTGGAGGAATAAGCAACTACATAACTTCATCTTTCGTTATATGAATAATTGTGTCCTTCAATAGAAAGTGGATAAAATCAATCTTATTAGCGAACGTTGTTTGCAACGTAAATTTCATTACATCGATGTTGGCAAATTCGCGTTTAGGAGATTAAAAATGAATATATCCATGTTTTATTAATGGTAGCGATGAATAAGTGATCGTAAAGCATTCTCAAGCTCACTCAACCGGTGATACTTTGTTGCAAGACACGCCCTCTCTTTTTCTGTCTCTCTCTCTCTCTCTTTGTCTGCACTATTACTTTCTTGGACGAATTTAGCGTGGTGAAGTCCCACTCGTTCAAATATTTTGAGCCCCTGACTCGAGATATTCTCTCGGTTGGTGGATTGCGAAATACGCAGCTCGGACGGTGTCGGACGATGTACGAGGACGAAAGTAGGTAGGTAGGTAGGTAGGTGGGCAGACGGAAGTCAGTTTAACGGTATCACCTGAGAGTTCAGTCAGGCTTCGATCCTTACGCGTGGAACGGGGTTTCACGAAATTCGTAGTTTCCTTGTGGCGTATTTCTTCTTCGCAGCGCTCAGCATATTTTTTTACGATCCGTACGCCCACCTGCGAGAACAGTTTGATGAAGGAACGGGGAATTTTCGAGCTGTTCCGAGGACTACCACTGTAACTGCTTTGGTCGTTAGACGCCTACTATTGCATCGAACTTAGAAAAGAGCATCGGATGCATTCCTTCTTCTCTTTCAAGGGCTAGTCGTGTTATTCTTTTTATAGCGATGTTTAGGTGGACGTGATCAGAATTTACGAGTTTGTCGTGCATTTTAATCTTATTTTATCTTCTATCGGCATTAGGTGAAAAAATGAAGAAAATTCGAAATAAATTATGTAAACAGCGCAACTTTTATATTATAGGAGTGAATATTTCTAATTTAGTATTATTTATATCATAAAATTTTTAGCCAATAAACTTACCTTGCGAGCAACTGCGAGAACTTGCGAGAACTATCTTCGTATTTCCTTTCTATTAATCTTTTCTTTTCTCTCCTTCGTGACCTTTAGATTCAACGAAGGAATTTAAAAATTTTGCTTAGACGTAATTAAATCCGTATATACAAATTACCGCGGAATTCAACCGAGTGATAGGATGAAGCGAGGTTTACTTAGGAATGGTTCCTAGTTCTTTCGTTTATACGGGGTTGTTGAGGAACTGTGATCGCCGGGAACCAGGGCATTGACCCTCACTGCCACGCCACTCCCACACCGCATTACGTCAGGCTACGTCCACTGCATCCTGCTCATCTTCTCGACGTTTTATGAGGGCTTTGCTACCCGCGAGTATTCACGGAGCGGGGTTGCGGTTCGCGTAATCCTTCCGTGTTCTCTGAACTTATCAATTCTAAGAAAGAAAGAAGAAAACAAAGTTTG